GGGCACAGGTACCCGATGTTCCTCCTGGACCCCCAGCAGGCAGGGGCAGCGCTGTGACCAGTGGTCCTGCAGCTCACACCAGGGCTCCCCCATCCCGCCGTGCTCACCACAAGTGCACGGATGCGGATGCTGTCCCTCTCGCTGTGCTTGTAGATCTCCTTGAGCAGGCTGACGCCATGGGCCGTGATGAAAGAGGCGCGCTTGGCCTTGTCAGCCGCATGGATCAGCGCCTCCACTGCTACCAGCTGGTGTGCCTCGCTGACGGAGGCACAGAGGGACAGCACGCTGTCCATGATGCCCTCCAGCTCCAGCACCCTGTTCCCCGCGTCCGAGGGGCCCTGCAGCAGGCACGACACCGTCTGGATGGCCCGCAGCTTCCCCAGCAGCTCGTGCCCCTCAAACCAGCTCCTTCGGGGAAAGACCACCAGGAAGGGTCAGGCTGATCCCACCAGCCACTTCCTGCTCCACCATGGGTCTTGCAATCAGCTTTAGCACTGAGGGTGACAGGTGCTGCCAGACTGCAGGTGACTGCACCCCCTCACCCCCAGGACCCTGGCTTACCTCACATAGTCCTCGCACAGGTGGTGGAAGTTTTCCCTCTCAGCATCACACTTCAGGTCCTCGTACAGTTTGCTCAGCAGGACAGAGGCACTCATCCGGCTGTTCTCCGTCACGGACAGGCTACCTGGGCTGCCACACACCGTGCTGCCCACCTCCAGGATCTTCTTCAGGCCTGGGGGACGTTAGACACCCTGGTGAGGGGTACAGTGAGGTGCACAGGCAGAACTGGAGCAGAAGGACATGATGCTCCAGTGGGATGCTGCTGGCTGTTCCACTCACCCTGGTCGATCACCCAGAGGCTCATGGTGTTGTTGGTCTCTTTTGGTGACTTCCTGGGCACTACCTTGATGAGCAAGTTGAGGGCATTGTCACGGCCATGTGCTGAGGCCCCTTCCAGCACCAGCAGCTCCAGGAGGTGCTTGATCAGCAGTTTCAGGTCCCTGGAGGAATCTTCCAGAAGAGACAGTGCCTAGCAGTCAGCACCCTGGGCACAGCCTCACTCCCACCATGGTACAGATGGCAGAGATGCCATGACCAGGGGCTCCTGCAGTGACAGGGTGGGCAGCAGAAGAACCCGTGGCAGCTCCACACCTCCCTGGGACTCCCCCCCTCCACTAGCCAGGTGGTACAGCCCACACTCACCCAGCACCACTGCATCCTCCTTCCCGCGAAAGTCCTTCTGCAGCCCCTCCTTCAGGGAATCGAACATCACGTGCAGCAGGTTGCAGGCAGCCAGGGACACCTGCTCATGCTCCACACCCAGCACTGCCGAGAGACGGGGAGCCCCCAGGTCCACCAGGATGGCCATGGTCTGTGGGTACAAGCACAGCTGTCTGCAGAAGGCGTTGGGGAAGCCTTGGCACTATCAGGATAGTTCCCTCTCACAAACTCAAGCCTGGCAAGTGACAGCTCAGCGCTCCCATCTGACACTTTACAGCCTCTCTGACATGGTTTTTCTCCTGGCCCTGGGGTGCAGCAGGACCTACCCTGGAGCGGTGGCCAGAGCACAGTCCCACCAGCGTGCGCAGAGCCGCCAGCATCAGGTTAGCCTTGGCTGTGTCCAGCAGCTGCGTCAGCAGCCGCACACCATCACTCTGGAAGATTTTCTCTGCTCCAGCCTCCTCTCGTGCCAGCACAATCAGGTTCTGTGCAGCCTGAGAAAAAAAAAATTGTGTCTGGGTCACAGCTCACTGGAACACAGCCCACCATGCACAGGGAGCCCCCAGCAGCCTCAGGCACTGCTTTCCACCCGTCTCCGGGAGCAGGTTCTGCAGGGAAAGCCCAGCCTGCCCCGGCAGCACTGCTAAGCCACTGCTGACCTGGGGAAACACCCATCCTCCCTCTCCTCCTCGCCTCTCAGCCACAGCACTGCCCTCTGCTCCCCAAGCTCAGACCTTCTGCTTCTTGTCCGCATCCTTTTCCTCGGGATCCAGCAAGATCTGGAACATCTGCTCTACCTTTGAGTCCGTGCAGGACATGGTCTTCATCTGCAACAGAGCAGAAAGAGCAACTCAGCCCTCTCCCACCTCCCCCAGCCACCCACATCCAGAGGGGTCCCACTGCCCCTGCACCAACCTTCTCGTGCATGCTGCTCCCCAGGGTGCGCAGGGCCTCCTGGAAGGCCTTGTTCCTGGGCTCCAGGCTCACACAGCGCTGCAGGTCGCTGACGGCCTGGTCCAGGTGGCCCAGCTGCTGGAGCGCCTGACTACGGCGGAACAGCGCCTTCACATCCCGACCGTCCGCCTCGATGGCTGCACACAAGGGGGTCTGTGGCAGAGCCCCCAGCCTGCTCTGCCCTGCCCTGATGGGCAGCACAGAGACCGGTCCCCCCCCAGTCCCCACTGACAGTACCTTTAGTTGCGTCAGCCTCCGCCTTGGCATAGTCCTCCTGCGGAGAGTTGGAAAATGCCTGAGCGCTGTCCATGCAGCCCAGCACAGCCCAGCACCCCCCAATTTGGGGAGTGGGGACAGGATGCGAACAGCAGCACTGAGGACAGCAAGCCACCCCAGTGGGATGCCCTGTCCTTCCCAGAACACAACCCCCACGGGCTCCCTGGGGAGCTCTATGGCTCCTGATGCTTTTCCAGTGCCCCTGGTTTACTTGAGCCCCTGAAGCACCTTGTGTTCCCCCCTGCCTCACACACAGTTTCACAGTGGGAGACCAGAGACACTGTGACTGCCTGGGGACAGCCCGAGGGCATACACACAGCCCAGGCACGGATGCGACTGCCCTGGCCCCAACAGCCCTCCCCGGCAAAGAGAGGGGTAAAGTTGAGCAGCGACAACACCTGACAGTGCCCTGATCAAAAGTATCCTGTCTGGGGACTGACGGTGCCCTGACTGGAGACTGACAGCACCCTGCCCAGGGACCAACACCGCCCTGACTGGGGACTGACACCGCCGTGC